ACATAACACCAGTGCAAAGTGGCTGCAGGACCTGAAAGCAAACCACAGTAATCTCCCAGAACAGGAACCAGTCACCATCACAGTAGCAGATATCCAACAGCGAGTCAAGAACATGAAGAGCTGGACAGCACCTGGCCCAGACATGATCCACACCTATTGGCTAAAGAAACTACCAGCAGTGCATCAACGCCTAGCAGCACAGATGAACCAGCTGCTAGCAGCAGACTCCTACCCAGACTGCCTAACATAAGGAAGCACAGTGCTGCTCATGAAAGACCCCCACAAGAGAACAGCACCATCCAGCTACTAGTCAATAACCTGCCTCCCCACAACATGGAAAGTCCTATCAGGCATCATAGACACCAAGCTACAGGACCATATGGGCCAGTACATGAGCACAGCTCAGCAGGGCATTGAAAACAACACCAGAGGTTCAAAGCACCAGTCGCTCATAGGTAGAGCAGTTGCTCAAGACTCAAGGCCTAGACAGACCAATCTGAGCACAGCCTGGATTGACTACAGGAAAGCCTACAACTCAATGCCACACACATGGATCTGTGAATGCCTGGCACTATACAAAGTCAACAGGACACTAAGGACCTTCCTCAAGAATGGGACTGTGGAAGACAACACTGGAAGTCAACTCAAGACAGCTTGCACAAGTGGCTGTCAAATGAGGCACATACCAAGGTGATGCACTGTCCTTGCTGCTGTTCTGCATAGGCTTGAACCCCCTCAGCCAGATAATCACAAGGACTGGGTACAAATACAAGTTCAAGAGTAGAACTACCATCAGGCACCTCCTCTACATGGATGACATCAAGCTGTATGCTAAGAATGAACAAGACATCAACTCGCTGATCCACCTGACAATTCCAGGCCAGTTGACTTATTAGATAACAAGAAACAGTTGTAGCCTATTAATAGTTTGAAATTGGAATAAAACTATGAACACTAGGCTATAAAATATTTTCTAATCAAGACATTATTACATTTAATAATATGGGAATGCCTTATATAAGGGAAGGCAAAATGAATACTTAGGTCACTCACAGGATACTCCAATGCATATTTATTTACAGTCCTACTGTGTCCAATGGGACTAACTACCAGGTACGTCTATACAAACTCAGCCAAGAAAACAAATAGATCCTCAAACAAATCAACCCAGAATTCTCACTTGAGGCACAAATAACCAGGCTCAGATCATCCTACTTTGGATCCATTATGCAAAGACCTAGCTCTCTGGAGAGGGCTCTAATGCTGGGAAAGGTGGAAGGAAAGAGAAGAGGACAAGCAGAGCAAGTGGATGGAGTCAGTTACAGTGGCAATGGGTGCAGTGTTGAGAGACCTGAAAGACCAGGTTAGGGACAGATCATGATGGAGAAAATCTAAATCTATGTGATCACTAAGAGTTGACATGACTTGATGGCACATAATCAATCCTTTCTTTCTTTAAAAGATTATTAGAAAGCAATTAGTGAGCAAACTTAACTGGCTTCTCTATGTTTTCTGGATAAACCTGGCTCAGACATCTTCACAGCAATATCTCATTTATCAACTATTATAGTTAGATTTGAGAGATCAATTCCCTGTACAGGTCTTGATTAGTGGAATTACATAAGTGGGACATAAAAATTGTAGAACAGGAACAACAAAGGGAAACACAGAAGTTAGTAAGATACTGAGGAGCATTTTATATTCTATAAGCAAATCATTTTTGGAAAAACATACTGTATGCCTATGGACATTTTATATATCACTATTACTGTGGATATAAATCAAGAAGATATCATTTGCTTTATTTAAAAAATACCCAGCAAACTGATTGTCACCCAGATTTTTTAAATTAAATGTAATTAAAATTTGCCTTTATCCAGACACAATGGGTAATAGAATATATGTTAGTACTATTTCTACAGTACAAGTTTCCAAATGAATAGCCATATACAGAATTATTTTTATACCTTCCTTTGCTGTTCAACACTTGCACCTCCTTTATAACCAGAGAAAAAACAATGAGAAACGTTCTCTAGCCATTAGATCATTCTATCTGAACGATCTGCCTAACCCTTCATTCCATTTCTAATATAAAAAGCAACATGCTCCTTTTGATCAAATTACCAAGGAAGTGGTAAATGCAGCTCCCCTTTATCAGATGTGTTCAAGCAAAGGATGAAGAATGTCTGCCAGGGATGCTTTAATCTGCATTCCAGCAGAGTTTAGGATTGGATTTGATGGCCTAAATAGCCCCTGCCAACCTCTTATTGTCATGACACATAGCCCTCAGTCCAAAAAACAGCAGCTGAATCTCAGTTTACTTCACTGGGGGAAGTGCCTCCTCAACCATAAGATATAGCTATGGCCTCATCTACTGAGTCAGAGGATAAACTCTATTTCTGCAGGGTTCCAGAAGCCTGACACTGCAAAATCAAATGAGGGTCCTTTAACAGTCCAGCCAGCTTGCCCTGACATGCTGGAGGTAACCAAACTACAGATCCTGTATAAAGTTTCAGTTGGCTTTAGAGAAGGGTAGGCAATATGATATTCATAGGTTCCGGTATGCAAGGCTTTTTGTCCCTCTAGACTTCATTTCTTCTTTATATTCTTTTAATAATTTTAAAAAAAAACCTGGAAGTTGGAATGCTGCAAAACGCCAGCTTCTATCATCACATACATTATTATTTACAAAATGGTGGGCAATCCACACCCTGCATGCACTTCCCAGATTAATTTTAGCAACAAAATTTCGGGTCTGGACAAGGGGAGTTAAGGATTACATTGGTAGTGGTTGCCCTTCAGAGATCTCCCACTCACATGCCTATGCTTAACCTCTCAACCTCCCCAAATGTCAGCCATGTCCTTTCTGTTAATGTCACTGTGTCACTGGATGGTATCTGAAGGTTCTCCAGAAGATTGGGAAGTTGAGTTCTTGTCCCCAATCCTTCAGAGGATGCCCAACCAGACTTGACTAATTGACATTTTTTTTATTGGAATCTGATGTCACTAAATTCCCTTATAAGTGCCAGGTAATCACAGATCAAAACATCAGTCAGTAAATACCAAAATCAATGCATAAGCTTTCCTCTCTTCCCCATTACCATAGTCAAGCACCTTTAAGGCCAGTTGGGTTAAAAAATATCAGGTATGAAATCAATGTAATGTCTACCATCCTTACAATCTCATGTTCAAAGGTAAGTTAAATATAGATAGTGGTCATGATTTGACAACAAAACATTTGAAATATGCCTTGTATTACTAGATATTCCTACAGAGGTTTAAGAAAAGCTAGTATTTTTCATAAGATCCAGTTTCCCCCTCTCTCCTTGGAGATATTTAAGTCAACACCAAAAAGAAAAAAATAACAGTTTATTATAATATTGATATTTAAACTTAAACTTTATTTATTAGAGTTATATCCTGCCTTTCCTCCAGAAGCCCAAGAAAACTTACAACAAGGATTGGCAATGAAATGCTTCTGGATTCAAACCAGACTCCCAGGCTATGCTCCTTGGTCTCCAAAATAATATGAAATCATTAGAAATCACTGAAATGTTGTTCAAGGTCTTGCATACGATCCTATTTTTTTCTGCTCCTCTTATCATTTCACAAAATGGCCAGGGGCCAGAAAAAGTTGCTGACCCCAACCTAAAAGTATTGATAGAAACATTATGGTAATGCAGCTTTATTAACAATAAAAAAATGCCTGTTATCTCCAGCTTCCTCAGCTTGGCTGCTAGTACCATTCACTGAATCAGTAAAACTTGACAAATGCCTCACTTTTCCATTACTAACTGCAATTGTGCTTACTTGTAAGGACTTTAAATACACTTAGGTCAAAAAGATTTAGCAAATTCTTGTGACATATATATCCACAGATAATGATTCATGTATGATGATTCCCACATGTTAGATCACTGGTCTTTGAGCAGTGGCTCTTGGGCAAATGTGCAGCACAAGAAGTTAGCATATCTAAATCAATCCTCTTCAACCTAATACTTTGAGCAAGTATTGAATTATCAACTCTCGTTAGTCCAGCTAGCATGGCCAAGTTGGGGAAATCTCATCTAAACCTAAATGAAAAGCTTCTATGTAAGATTGGGCCTTGGTCACAAATCTGAGCACTTTCAATAGTAGGTCCTCTTACCATAGGTGGGTAATATTCATCCTACTAAAGACATATTTTCACCGTATTATTAAATAAAATGCAATCCCATCGTTCTCTTCCATTTATTTCATAAAACGGCGTTCTGAAATATTTTACTACTAATAAATAAAAGAAACTTATCTTTTAAATGTAATTTAAAAAAATAAACAAAAATATCACTCGCCCATAAAGTCTAACGTAATTGTTTTATTATGTGAATCAACTGGAGGACTAATTAAACTTTGTAATAATTACTGTAAAATGCATGTATCCAAATGAATATTTATAGTCCTTAACTGGAGCATAGTAAATCCTCCATACTTTTGTCCTGTATTTCAATATATACTACAGCCCAGAATAAATATATTAAAGCTGTAGTTAGCCTAGGTGAAATCAATGAAATTTACTTCCAAACAAGTACTTCTAGAATCAGGATATAGATATAATGTGCTACATTTTAATAAACAATTAATTAAGATCAGGCATTTGCTATTCCACACGCTCTGTACAGATGCAGGGATGAGCCACCAATAATAGAGGCAGGTTATTATTATGCACAGGCAAGGTGCAGTGCTTAACCCTTTATTTATTATTTCTGTCTGATATTTCTTCTCTCCCCTTTTTTGCTGAAAGCACACAGAGATTTGTAAAACATCAAAGATATAGTAGCACAGAAAAGCAGCATATGCTATGCTATAAAATCAAATATCAAGGTATAAAATGGGACTATGGTAAGACATTGAACTATGTTCCTACATAACCTGAAAATAAGGTCACAGAGTGAGCTGTGCCCTTGGAGGAATCACTAAAAGCAAAATATTTAAAAGCAATGAAACACAGAGGAACAACTTACATTTGCTGCATGACTTCATTCAAGAAAACTCCATCTAGAAGTGCAACATATTCTTCCAAGTTGGTTGCATTCTGTCCAGCTAACGGTCCAAATGTCTTAACCTAGAACATAATAATCATCACTATGACATGAATTCTGTCTCTACTTGGCAAGAAATCATTTATATAAATTCCATTACTGATCAACAAATGCTTACCCAGGTAACAAGTGGGCTGGATATGAAGACCTCCAAAAGAGGTGTGAATATCTCATTTTCCATGTTTTAGAAGCGTTTTTTTAACAAAAAAAAAATCTGAATTATAAAAGGTTAGATGAGAAGATTCTCTTCTTTGCGGTAATTCCGTGAAATGCTCAACGACTTCAGGAAGAATATACCCTGGCTAGTTCCCAAATAAAATTCAAAAGTAGTCAGAGCTGTGGCAACAAAGATTTCATTATCCACCTCGTCCAAAAACGGAGCGATCTGGAGGCCATGGACGTTCTTGGTTTTTTTTCCCCCTACGGCTCCGATTGACTCTTTCTTCCTCCTCTTTCCGTGCTGAAGGGGAAGGGGAAGGGGAAGGAGAAAGGAGAAACCCAACAGCGATCCTACATCAGCCGCAAACTCTCCCCCCCACCCCCCTTTCCAGGCTGCAGCACCACAAGCAGGCAAACCGCAGGCGTGCGAATGGAGCAAATTTCAAGGAAACTCGCCCCGACAGCTTATTTTACCCCCCGGCCAGCAAAAACGTACGTGTGACAGGAAAGGCAGAAATCGCATTTTCCTTCCCAACCACTCGGTATATCTCTCTTAAATTCAAGCTCAGAAGAAATCACCCTTTCTATCCAAGCTGATTTCCACCACGCTCCCCCCCTCCCCACGCACAGGACGACCGCCGGCTCTTGCACTCACCCCACCCAAGAGTCTTGCACAGTCGCTTTCCGCGCCACCTCTATTCCCCCCGCTCCCCGTACCTTCTTTACTTTATGGGTAACTGATCAACACCCATCAAAAATGAAGCAGGACCCCACCCCCTTGCCTAGTCCTTAGAGCTCGCAATTGATCGATCCCTCCCCTTGGTTCCAAGGCTACTCGGAACTACAGCCTCTCCCTTCCACTGCTTTTTCCACAACCTCAGCCCCTCACTCACTCCCACCCCACAACACCCGACTTCTTCGCCCCCCTTAAAACCTTATTATTTGCTCCTCCTCTACCCCACCCCCACCATCCCCGTTTTATCCCCCCCTCCTGTAGTTCAGTTCCAGTACCGGTCCTTCCAGCCACTCCCCCAGCCCTACCACCCTTCCCTTCCAGGGACTAATTTTCCTCTTGCGGGTGCATACCCACTGTCGTCTCCCTGAAGTAACGGCCACCGAGCTTCAACAGATTCGCACCGCTCACGCGCGCACCCTTCTTCCTATCGCTTCTGTAAAGGAGACTAGAGAGATCCCTCCGCAAAACAGACGAGAGAGGGGAGGGGGGTTGACTTTTTTCCTTGCAATCTGACGGTTTCGAGTTTATTCCTCCGCCACTGGACTGACTGATGTTGGAATTAAGGGAAGGGGAGGGACGAGAGTTGAGGAAGGCAGAAAAACCGCTGCAGGGCGCGCGCAGAGTCGCACACGGCAGCCGCTGCATAGCTGGCGAAGGGTGCGCGCCAAACAGCATATAATGGAGATGGAAGAAAAATACAAATGATTGGGGAGAGTGTGGCATGACTAGAGGTAGCCAGTTGTTTTTTTCTATATGACATGCTACCTAGCCAGGAACTGTGTGGGTTGAGTAATTATGTGGTGTATGAATGTTCCTCTGGATCCTGCTTTTGCTTCATTCACACATTAGAAAGAGATGCGTGTAGATCAGTAACGTGTTATATGTACATGTTTATGAGATGAAAAAAATCGTGTAAGAATTCCATCTAAGGGGAAGCTGGAGAAATTAAATATTTTTGTCCATAGCATTGGACAAATTGTTAGAAGGGATTAATTCTACTTGCATCATGCCCCCCCCCCAGCTGAAATTAGTAAGAGTCCTATTCGTATCTGCATACGTGGATGATGATGGGCTGCATGATTATATATCCTATGGCTGTTGGAGGGGCATTATTCCACTCTGGCTCTCAACCTACTCCATAGTTTACTATATCAGATCTCTGGCTGGGCTTCTATCAGAGGACATTTCAGTCTTAAGCCTCTTCCTCTACAGGTAGTCCCCAGGTTAAGAATGCCTGGGTTATAGATGACCCATAATTAAGAACAGAGCCTGTTGTAGCAAAATTTGAGTTAAATACACAATGGTTAGCATTCAATACACAGTACTACATATATACAGTATTATACAATAATACTGTTCCAGCTTACATACAAATTCAACTTAAGGACAGACTTTGGGAATGGAACTCGTTGTTGAACTGGGGACTACCTGTATTTCCAGAGTGAAATATTTTATAGATGACCCATAATTAAGAACAGAGCCTGTTGTAGCAAAATTTGAGTTAAATACACAATGGTTAGCATTCAATACACAGTACTACATATATACAGTATTATACAATAATACTGTTCCAGCTTACATACAAATTCAACTTAAGGACAGACTTTGGGAATGGAACTCGTTGTTGAACTGGGGACTACCTGTATTTCCAGAGTGAAATATTTTAGTCATTATGGTCCAATTGGTGTTTTTCAGGTCCCAATGATGGCTCTTTTGGTCAGAAGGGCTTTTTGTTCTGGTTTCAGAGTTGTCATATTCTGAGAAGCCATTCTAGTTCCTGGGCCCATCATTCCGTTGTGTCATGCAATTCTCCAGTATTAGGGGAGTCCATTGTATAATTAATATCTGATTTAAAATAGGAAGAATGTTACCAAGCCATGAAAAATATATATTAAAATATTAAAATAAGATAAACATTTAATGTAATAAAAGCAGTGCAACATTTCTATCACCCTGACATTATATTTTAAAATAATAAAATGAAAGGGCATAAATAATAGTAAAATCTTTGCCTCATTCAAATCTTTCTTAGGACATTCCTTGGTCCTCCACACTGAGGAGATATATGCAAATGAAGAAAGGGGGCAAGTCAGATGAGCTGGCTGAGTAATCAATGGCTCCCACTGCAGCCTAGGATACAGAAGAACAGAGCTCACTACTGGCAGATATGCCCTCCCAAAGGTGTCATCCAATTAAACTAATTGCTGCTAGATTCAAGCCAGACAAAAGAAACACAACGTATTTTACAACACCTTAGATACCAACAAATTTATTACAGCATAAGTTTTCATGGACTCATAGATGAATTCATCAGGTACATGAAGCAGCATCTTAATATATATGTGTTGTGCATGAAAGGGCAGAAGTCTATGTAAAAACTAAAGGTAAAGCTGAAATTGGAAAAAAAAACAGACTATGATAATTAGATCTAGTTTAGCAGAATGAATACTTAATTTCTCATCAATTTGTTTGTACAGTATGTCATTTTTCCATGGAACTAAATTTACATAATCTCACTTTACAAGATTATTTACTTGCAGACAGAAAATATTTAAATCATATAGTAAAATATACAGTAAGATTAAGCAGTTCATATATTTAAATAGTAAGATTTTATTTACAAGTAAGTGTTGTCATTAGCATAATTTAAATCCTTAAAACTCAAGGAAAATTTAGCAGCAGCAATAGCCTTTGACCTGTGGTAAAACCTTGCCCCTCCTAGGTAAGAGGAAGGCTAGACACACACAGAAAAAAAGGAACATCTAATTCATTGGTCTCAGAATATTATACAACAAGATGATCACTAGGTTTTATTATTTTAAAGCAAATGTGGGCGACTTTTTTCAGACTGAGGAAAGACACTTCACCTTTGAATAACACACTAGAAGTCATGCTCCTAAAAGTAACCAAGGCCAAGACCCAGACAAAAACTACATTTCATTTACTTTAAATATTTCATTTACTTACATTTCATTAATGTAAACTAATGGAATGCCCTTGGTATGGTTATTCCTCATGCACTGAAGGATTTTCCACTCCTGTCACATTAAAAATTACAACCTGGAGAAAGCATTTATTTTTTTAAATAGTTTTTATTAAAAGATTTTACATATATCATAAGAAATACTGTATATTCAAAGAAAAAGATATACTAAATGTGAAAGAAAAAATAAAGGAGAAGTAGAGACCAAGAAAAAGGAGATAGAAAAAAGAACAGAACAGAAAACATGAAAAGAAATATAAAGGAATGGCTTCCAATCTTCCTCTCAGCAGTTATACATACAACTCTAATCAAACCTCTCTCTCTCTAAGATTACATCATAATTCCATTCTTTCTATAACCTGTTCTGTCTAATCATCAAAACCATAAGTGACCAAATCATTTACTTTTGTATGCAAAAAGTCCATAAGGGTTTCCTGGTCATTGATGAATGTCAATAATGATCTTTCTCTAATCAAAGAAGTCAGTTTGGCCATCTCAGCAAGTTCTGTCAATTTCACCAACCATTCCTCCATGGTGGGTAGTGCCGAATGTTTCCATCTTTATGCATAGAATAATCTCGCTGCAGTAATCATATACTGAAATAATCTCCCATGACTCTCTTCTAAGTGTGTATCAGTCAGTCCTAAAAAGAAAAGTTCTGGCTTCAAGTGAATATTAATCTTTAAAATCTTCTGTATCAATGTGTGTATTTGAATCCAAATTTTTTTAGCTTCCTTACATGTCCATCAAGCATTATAGAATGACCTTTCATGTTGTTCACATTTCCAACATACATTTGGAATGCCTTTGTACATTCTAGATAATTTCTCTGGCGTCATGTATTAACGATACATCATTTTGTAAAAATTCTCTTTAAGATCATAACATACAATTTCAACCCTTTTGACCACGTATTTCCCATTAATCCATCTGTATATTATAACCAAAATTCTTAGCCCAATTTATTATACATTCTTTAACCTGCTGTTCTTCCATTTCAAATTTCAACAAAAGTTTATACGTTTTAGCAATTACATATCATTGGACACAATTGCACTTGAAATTCTGTCTTTCTTTGCTCCATACCATAAGTCTTTTTATGCATTTAAAATTTTTCTGATAACAGTAAATGGGAAAACCATTGACGACTATAACCTTCTGCCATTAGTTGCTTTCTTGATTTAATTTTATATTCCCCTTGATGATTCTCCAATAATTCCTGGTACATTAACCATTTGTCTTTGCCTGTTGTTTCACTTCTATAAATGCTTCTTGTGCTTTGGGAACAGCCTATGTTTATATCTATTTCATATTCTCAATATGGCACATGTAATAAAGTGGTTTTTAAAATCCACGTTAGCTTTAACTTTATTGTACCATAAATATCCATGCCATCCAAACCTCAGGTCATGCACTTCTAACTCTAAAAGTCTTTTGTTTCTCAGCAACACCCATTCTTTCATCCAAACCAAACAACAAGCTATCTATTTCATATTCTCAATATGGCACATGTAATAAAGTGGTTTTTAAAATCCACGTTAGCTTTAACTTTATTGTACCATAGATATCCATGCCATCCAAGCCTCAGGTCATGCACTTCTAACTCTAAAAGTCTTTTGTTTCTCAGCAACACCCATTCTTTCATCCAAACCAAACAACAAGCTGCAAAATACAATTTCAAATCCAGTAAACCCAAACCTCCTCCTCCTCCTGGCCATAATTCATCCCAATAGAATTCATAATTCTCTTCTCAACCTCAGCCCCTGAAGGCTGTGTAAAACAGCCAGGGCTTCATTTCTTTTTTCCAAGTCCTGGCAACTGGTTCCTACAGTTTTCTTGCAAGATTTTAAGAAGTAGTTTGCCACTGTCTCTTTCCGATGGCTGAGAGTTAGTGACTGGCTCAAAGTCACCCAGCTGACTTTGTACTTAAGGCAAGACTAGAACTCTCAGTCTCCCAGTTTCTAGGCTAGTGCCTTAATCACTACACCAAACTGGTTCTCTTCATTAATTTACAAACTATTAAAAGGGAAGAAGCTACTTTCATCCTGAGGGGAAAGCTGTTTCATGGCGGGGGAGTCCCAACAGAGAATGCTTGCTTCTACACTTCTTCCTGCTGTATCTTGCAAGGAGTGGGGAATCTTAATATACAGTAATACCTCGGTTCACGAACGCTTCTGTTCATGAACAATTCGGTTCGCGAACAGCAGCG